AATTATGAATGAATTGCAAAGACCATTTTACAACAAACTCACAACTGGGCTGGTCGCAGTTAAAATGCTACGTTTTTACATCGCAGTCCACCTTTCCACCCTAATTTCACGCGAAGTTTCGTGCTGGTTGTGAAATTAACTTACACGTGTCATGAGTGTCAGAATACATTACTTCATTACGGCTCGCTTGCACTACGTTCACTGCTCACTTCCCCCTCCCCCCCCCCCCCCCCTATGACCACGATTTGTTCAAGGGCCTAATGTATTTAAACTAAACCCACATTCGCACATTTAAGCACGTCGCGCCATTTTATTTACATGCAAGCAATACGACTCCACTCCGCGACCGTCCTAATGACCTAACCTCCCTCGTAACGTGACCTGTCAGGCGCTTGACCCCAACCCGCAAAACCAGCGCGTGCTTTTAGGCCCCTCCGGCCGGTGACAATCCTATCTGGCTAGGCCCCTTCTGTCAATTACACTGGGAGCGCTTTCGCACCTTGTTCGCGTCCCACTAATGTTACAGGGGAGGCGCCGGGGTTATAGGGAGGGGAGACAGGTAAGGAGACATCGCCCAGGAGCGATGGAAGCGGAGAGCAGACTGCACTCCCTCAGCAACTTGCCCCAATTTCCTTCACTCACATGTTGGTGGCTTCGGTCATCGCGTGCAGCCCCCGTCCACAGAGAGCGTCCGATTGGAGGTGCTCCTCCCCCGTTCTCCCTCGAGAGCGCCCGACTCAGCGTGCCGCTGCCCCTGAGTGACAGCCGCTTCTCCTCGCAGGTTTCGGTCATGGGCTCTGTTCGCTTCCATCCGAGCTCACTTGCAGCTCCGTCCTGCACGCGCTATGTCTTGGTCCGTCAGGAGCACAGGGCCTCGGACGGCGAGCGTTTGCTTCTCTGGTCTGCGTGGGCCCCTTCCCGGCCGTCCTCTGGCGGCCCCCCCCCCCCCCCCCCTCTTTCAGCGTGAAACGTGCGTGGCGTGGAACGCTGCTCCGCTTGCGGCCACGCTCCCGGGTTTACTCCGGGATTCCCGTTGTCGATGATCGTGTTCTCGTCATACCGTGGGCACTTCGTGAGAACGTGAGAAGTGAGAACGTCTCGCCGGGCCACCTGCTGCACCTCTGCCCAGACCCCTTTGCCCCCGACGGTCTTGTTTTCGACAGGGCCCTGAGCTGCTCTTGCGGCACGGCCTGTACACGCAGACCACTTGCCCGGTCTCCTAACCCGTCACTTGCTGTGTAACTACCAGGCAGTGCCCCAGATGTTGTGCAGGGTAGGAATCGTAACGGGGGCCATAATATGAAAAATACTGCGAATAGAATATGGACATTCACGTTATTAAACTGAGTGTTCCACATTTTATGAGGTTTTGAACTGATATAGCCATCTTCGATCATCATAGCCATCTTCATAGTCATCTTCGAGGATCATTCGGTGCAGTTCTCAGTATTGCCCTTCTCAAAAGGACTGTTCCATATGCTAAGATACCGAAGCATTAGATATGATGAAAGAAGCTCACTTACAACTATTAACGTGCTTTAAGTGGAAAAGACTGCTCCAGGCAGCACAATTTGTGTGTTTACTGAACATACTCATCAATACGTTGTTGTATGACTACGTCATCGTCCCTTGCATAACATTAATTCAGGAGCCGGCTAACGGCCGCTTTATTCGGAAACCGTGCCCACGAAAGCCGGATATGAACGACGCGACAATTATACCTTTATTGGCCTCGATCACCGCATGGCTAATGAGATGGCAGGATCTGAGTGACGTTATTATGGTGTCATGGATGTCTGGGTGACCTTGAAATAGTCTCCCTGCGGTGGTCCGCCCATCGTGACGGGCGTGCAGCCCAAAAACTAAGGAGTTCAGGTCTTAGGGGGACAGCTGTGAACTGCACCGAATGATCTCAGAGATGTCTTTTTCAGTTCAAACCCCATACAAATTTAGAACACCCCCTTTGAAACTGAAAATTTTTAGTGCCTGCGCTACACGCCTGCGAAGTTGTGCAGACTATTTCGTGCAGTTTAGTCAAGGTCATTTCAACGTCCAAACGTCCAACCATGGTCCCAAAAAATGGGCTTTGCTCCTTCTAATTTTGCTCGTGGAACACGCGTGTTTCATGTCTTCCCAGTCAAAACGTAATCTTTAGGTCAAGCCGTTCCACTCAGATTATGGCTCGATCCGTTTAGAACTACCTAAAATTCTGGCTTGGTCCGTTTAATCGTACCTCAGATTCTGGCTCGATCCGTTTAATCCTACCTCAGATTCTGGTTCGATCCGTTAAATCTTACCCCTGTCCTCCCCGAAATCAGACATGGTTACATACATGCTCGTCACACATCGGTTCAGTTTGCGCATGCGCCTGATGCGATGGTGAATAAAAATATTGAATATACGATCAGACGTATTTCATATTATTAGATAAAGGCTTAGCTTTCAATCACATACTTCATCAATCGATGGGCATGCATGGGCGGTTGTTGGCATGCTCAAACGTTACAGCGACACTGCGGACCGTGACCGCCCGCATCCACGTGCGCTATAGACGTGCGCTAGCCCTTCCACACAGTGCATTGTTCTACACACATCACGGCCACTGAAAGGTCGGCCTCACACCACAGCAGAGGCTTGCGTCTGATCAACGCGGAGGCGTTACACCACAACAGAGGCTTGCGTCTGATCCAACGCGGAGGCCTCACACCACAGCAGAGGCTTGCGTCTGATCCAACGCGGAGGCCTCACACCACAGCAGAGGCTTGCGTCTGATCCAACGCGGAGGCCTCACACCACAGCAGAGGCTTGCGTCTGATGCAACGCGGAGGCCTCACACCACAGCAGAGGCTTGCGTCTGATCCAGCGCGGAGGCCTCACACCACAGCAGGAGGCTTGCGTCTGATCCAACGCGGAGGCCTCACCCCACAGCAGAGGCTTGCGTCTGATGCAACGCGGAGGCCTCACCACCACAGCAGAGGCTTGCGTCTGATGCAACGCGGAGGCACACCACAGCAGAGGTCGTCTGATCCACGCGGAGGCCTCACACCACAGCAGAGGCTTGCGTCTGATGCAACGCGAGGCCTCACACCACAGCAAGGCTTGCGTCTGATCCAACGCGGAGGCCTCACACCACAGCAGAGGCTTGGCTGATTAACGCGGAGACCTCAGATCACAGCAGAGGTTGCGTCTGATCCAGCGCGGGCCTCACACCACAGCAGAGGCGGCGTCTGATGCAACGCGGAGGCCTCACCCCACGCAGAGGCTTGGCGTCTGATGCAACGCGCGAGGCCTCACACCACAGCAGGGCTTGCGTCTGATCCAACGCGGAGGCCCACACCACAGCAGAGGCTTGCGTCCTGATTAACGCGGAGGCCTCAGATCACAGCAGAGGCTTGCGTCTGATCCAAGCGGAGCGCCTCACACCACAGCAGAGGCTTGTGCGTTGATTAACGCGGAGGCCTCAGATCACAGCAGAGGCTTTGCTTGATCCAGCGCGGCGGCTCACACCACAGCAGGGCTTGCGTTTGATGCAACGCGGAGGCCTCACACCACAGCAGGGCTTCGCGTCTGATGCAACGCGGAGGCCTAACACAGCAGAGGCTTGCGTCTGATCCAACCGGGAGGCCTCACACCACAGCAGAGGCTTGCGTCTGATGCAACGCGGAGGCCTCACACCACAGCAGAGGCTTGCGTCTGATCCAACGCGGAGGCCTCACAACACAGCAGACGGTTGCTGATCCAACGCGAGGCCTCACCACACCACAGCAGAGGCTTGCGTCTGATGCACGCGGAGGCCTCACACCAAGCAGAGGCTTGCGTCTGATCCAACGCGGAGGCCCACACACACAGCAGAGGCTTGCGTCTGATTAACGCGGATGGCCTCAATACACAGCAGAGGCTTGCGTCTGATCCAGCGCGGGGCCTCACACCACAGCAGATGCTGGTGATGTCAACGCGGAGGCCTCACACCACAGCAGAGGCTTGCGTCTGATTTGCACGCGAGAGGCCTCACACCACGCAGAGGCTTGCGTCTGATCCAACGCGGTAGGCCTCACACACGCAGAGGCTTGCGTCTGATTAACGCGGAGGCCTCAGATCACAGCAGAGGCTTGCGTCTGATCCAACGAGGAGGACTACACCACTCAGCAGAGGCTTGCGTCTGATTAACGCGGGAGGCCTCAGATCACCAAGCAGAGGCTTGCGTCTGATCAGCGCGAGGCCCACCCACAGCAGAGGCTTGCGTCTGATGCAACGCGGAGGCCTCACACCACAGCAGAGGCTTGCGTCTGATGCAACGCGGAGGCCTCACACCACAGCAGAGGCTTGCGTCTGATCCAACGCGGAGGCCTCACACCACAGCAGAGGCTTGCGTCTGATTAACGCGGAGGCCTCAGATCACAGCAGAGGCTTGCGTCTGATCCAGCGCGGAGGCCTCACACCACAGCAGAGGCTTGCGTCTGATCACGCGGAGGCCTCACACCACAGCAGAGGCTTGCGTCTGATCAACGCGGAGGCCTCACACCACAACAGAGGCTTGCGTCTGATGCAACGCGGAGGCCTCACACCACAGCAGAGGCTTGCGTCTGATCCAACGCGGAGGCCTCACACCAACAGAGGCTTGCGTCTGATCAACGCGGAGGCCTCACACCACAGCAGAGGCTTGCGTCTGATCCAACGCGGAGGCCTCACACCACAGCAGAGGCTTGCGTCTGATCCAACGCGGAGGCCTCACACCACAGCAGAGGCTTGCGTCTGATGCAACGCGGAGGCCTCACACCACAGCAGAGGCTTGCGTCTGATCCAACGCGGAGGCCTCACACCACAGCAGAGGCTTGCGTCTGATGCAACGCGGAGGCCTCACACCACAGCAGAGGCTTGCGTCTGATCCAGCGCGGAGGCCTCACACCACAGCAGAGGCTTGCGTCTGATCCAACGCAGAGTCTAGCAACGAGTATCAGTCCAGCCGACCCGCCGCGCCCGGCCGTTCAGCCGGAAATTACCTGGAATTTGTCCGACCCGGCCTCCACACCTGCCAACTGGCCGTCGACAGCTGGCGGCATCGTCTCGCCGGAACGACCGTCATTGCACGGCACGCCGTCCTGCAAGCCGGTAAGCATCCTCCGCCCGTCCTGCCATCGCACACCCGCGCGGCCACGCTCTACCGTCAGTGCGGCCGGCCGGCACGCTGTCCACACGGCAGCCAGCGCGCAGGCGCCGACCGTTCGCGCCAGCAGAGGGGTCGGGGAGCCGGCCGGCGCCAGGTCAGGCCGCAGCGGTCCGGCGACGCCGGCTCCGTCAGACCCAGGTCAGCGCGCGATTGGTCCGCGCGCATTTCCGACGCAACGGATCGTCCCGAGCAAGTTTCCAGACCACAGACGCGCCCTGAATGCACTTTTGTTGTGCCGAACCTATTAAAGAGAAGAAGGCCACATGCCCGTCTGCATAACCGGGCGCACTACAACGCAAAAATGCGTCTTTCATGTCATTTTTCAGTCCAACCCATATTGTCCGGACAACTGCGACAAAATAATGTATATAAAATATATCAAATCGTGTTTTCCAGTGGGCCTGACACCCTCAACAACAAAAAAAACATGTCAACCTTGCGCGAACCCCGCCCCGTTTTCAATCAGTCATTAACGCACGCCAGGAAAGAGTGCAGGTGACACATGTTAGCGAGTTTGGAGCTGCTGAAACTTGCACTGCACACCAACCAAATCACAAAGATATGACCTCGTCCTGTTTGCACGATGCGAAAAATGTGCGCTCAGAAACACAGTCTTAGCAGTGGGCAGGCAATGCAAAAAGGTTATCTCGCACGAACTGGTAAAATCTATAAAAATGCTACGAAAATCCCTCGGCTGTGCCAAGCCCATTCGAGGTCAAACCCACATCAGTCCAAATTTAACTGAATGCCTAATTAATCACGCGGATCATCATAAAACAAACTGCACGCGTCATTGGTAACGCAGTGACCATTAAGACCATGCTCGAGCCAGGGCAAGTATTGAACGCCTTCCAAAACAATGTGGTTATAACTTCATCACCGCACAAATACCACAGCATCCGATGGAAACCGGAAACGGACGGTCATCCCAGCAGGGGTGCCACCACGGATTTTGAGTTGGGAGGCAGGATTTTCCAGAGGCATTCTGGACAAAACGCCGCCTCCTCACAGAGGCCTCCTGGGTACTGTCGTATGGTCTTTCCATCCTATAACAGGGTCTCCTGCTCCAGAAAATGATGCAGAGAGAGGTCTCCTAATCCACAACAGGATGCTTCCGATCCACGAAGAGCCTCCAAACTTAGCCAAGAGGCCTCCGTTACTCCAAAACACAACGCTCTTATCCGGGCCCGAAGTCATCTGACGCATGAAACGAGGGCTTTCTGTTCCAGACATGAGGCTTCCGGATAGAGGGTGCTTCCTAGCCCACAACAGGGCCTCCTGACTTGTAAGCACGCCGCCCGAACCAGCAAAGGGACCTCCCTAACGCTAGGTTGGGTCTCCTGATCTAGAGCATGGATTACCTTATTCATAAAGGTGGCCCTATGGTCCAAAAAACGGGCCTCCTGATGTAAACAAGGGTCATCTAAGCTTGGGTTATTACCCCCTAGCTTAGTTATGAGGGCCTTCTTGATCTGTATTTTGGTAATCTACAGGTAGCTAAAATGACTTAAGTTTGGGAAAAAGGCCCTCCTAAAAATTTGGGGGGCAAAAACACACTGTTGCACCTTGCCTGGCGACAGGGGAGGGGACAACTGCCTCCTGTGAACCTCCCCCCCCCCCCCCCTCCTTCCTGCTGCGCCGCCCCCGCATCCAAGAATAATGTCGTGGTAGATCGCGTAACCACTAAGCTCTCCCATTATCTCCTGCAAGAACTTGCATTGAACGAGCTTTACGCTGCGGATATACAAAACTCCAAATGTGATGAAAAACGTGATTTGACCTTGTACCACCCAGTCCCAGGATATCTCGTACAGCATCAACAGGAAAACTACGCTGCAGGGGTGGCCAAATGCTAGAACTTAACAATAAGCAAACGCGGTGAAAACGCTAGGTTAGCACATTTTTTAAAAACCAGTTCAGTGCATCATGCACTACAAAACATCCTGCCAAAACCATGGCATGCACCGGTCCGTACAGAAGCAGCCATACTGTTCCCTTCTTTTAAAAAATGCAAACCGGAGTCAGACTTGAGTGTTTTGTTCGGAGTCGTGGAGCCCTTTCAGGCCTCCAGGATCGATGACACATTATGAGTCAAGTGTGAACGAAATCCGAAAGATCCGTCCGTCTATCAAAGAAGAACCAGCCATACCAAGAAAGGCCACACAGAGAACGGCTGAGAACGTTGGCAGCGCGCCAAATCTCCGGCCTCGGGCGGCACTATTGATCCGGCTGTCCGCCCACCGCCTAGCGCTAAGGTCGCGTATCTGGCCGCGGGCAACGGATTTTCGCACTAGCCGCCGTCCAGACAAGTGACCAATCACGTCCCGTCCAGCTTCAAGGGCCTCCGCCACTCCAATAGGAGGACTGACTCGGATCAGGCGCCGCTGACTCATATTCCTCAATATTGCAGGTCCAGGAGCACGACGTCAGATTCCCTCACATCTGACATAAAAGCGGAGCTGCCGGCGAATGGCGGACTTCGACGTTTCAGGACAAAACAGGGCGTGCCATGGAATGCCGGTGTCTGAGTAACCGTCGCTAATACAATTATATCACCGCAAATGTGGCTGTTATTTGAAACGCGCACGCAGTCGCGCGCGTCTTCTGCATTCATTGTCATTGCATCTTTTGTCTGATAGCTGTGCAACCATTTCATAAAACACCAGAAGAGCACCGAACCTTCAAATAACGTCTGCCGACTGAACAAAGAATACTTTTTAACCTGTGAATGCTTGATGACTTTTTCAACGATAAATATTGTTCGTGTCAATTTGCACTATAGCATAAAATGAGCTGCGCTAGTTCCTCACGACTTAAAGGAATTATCCCGACTCGCTTGCACCTTCCACAAATAGTTTGATCACAAGGGTCCGATTTGCTCAGTAAAACCGATTTTCTTGTGATCCTTCCGGAAAGCTCAGAAATTTGATTTGAAGTAGCCGCATCGACGGGAGAAATATCATTCGACTCCCTCCACAACTATGCCGTTGGTTTCTTCCCTACGGCGTTCAGCAGTGACTGTTCGGAGGATGCTTTGGCTTTGGGACGCATTGCTTATTTGAATGTTGTTCCGTTCAAGGTTGCGTTAATGCAGTACGTATACACCAGCGATAATCAGCTGGTTTAGTGACGCACAGGTTTCACTAAAACGCTTCTCGTCAAATGCTTACGCCGCGTGGCTGTGATGACTATGAACGCACATATCAGGCATGCACACCCTAACCAGCGCAAATGTAGCACATGCCATAACCGCAATCCCGGCGGATGGAAGAACCATGTGACTTAAATCAAGACACTTGACTCTTCTGTACCACAAAATATTCCTATTGTGAGCAGGCTCTTCTTTACCACAAAATTTTGTTATCGTGAGAACATCAGCATCACCTCACATTAACTTACGCACTACTCCACTCCAACCATCGTTATCATCACATCATCAACTCACTCTTGCCATAATGGTAAACATAAAAATGGTTCGCTGACTTGGGTAAATATGCATATACTTTGTTCTTTTGTCCATTTTTATATGCCAGTAAACAATGTCAGCATGGCTCATGGCATAAATAATTGTGCTTGACGACGATCTGTAATTGAGCCATACGTGTAGCGACTGGAAATTGTGTAAATGTCTACCAATGTGCTTCCAATGTTCTACTCAACATACGCTGGCTGGTTTTCCCAAAACATTACATAAAAGTCAAAGAACAACACCTGCACTCCATGCTGGCTTGCCAACATCTGCTTGTCAAAGACAGCAGTCAGGGGTTGTCATTCAACATCAACATCAACCATTGATGACCTCCAGGCAGTAAATGAACAAACTGTGCCGTTTTGCAGGCATTATTGGCGCCAATAACATGCTAATTGATGCTTCACCCCTGTGTTTCTGTTGAGTTGTGGACGTGAAAAACTGAAGGGGCTCAGCTGAAACAATCAAGAACAGCAGATATTCTGCAGCATGGGCGAAGGAATTCAAAACGTCATTATGTTGTGCTCTTGCCATCATCAAGCACCTAAAAATGGTTTTCTGAAGCGAATAACGTGCTTATTTTCCTTTTTTGTCCAGCTTGCTTACCAGTAGTTTGTTGTGCGGCTCGTACCAGAATTGTGCTGACTGATTATCAAGATGTTAACAATTTTATACTTAAGCTGCCATGGCTGGTTTCCACAAAATGTCGTTAAAAAATTACATAACAACAGTCGCACCCAACCTTGAACAGCTGATCAAACAGCAATCATAGGTTATCATGACAATCTTTTTATCAGAGGTTGTCGTTTGACATCAACGGTAACCATCAGCATCAGCAGAATAAAGCGTTTGACCAAGTCATTTTCAGATATGTCACGCTGGCAAGAGCACAACATGATGTTTTGAATGCTTACATTAATGGTGCAGGAATGCTTGCTGCTCTTAATTATTTCCGCTGAGCCTCTCTATTTTTTAAGTTGCAGGGTTGCACAAAAACATTAGAAGGCATTGAACTCTTTATCGGCACCGATGAGGCATAAGGCACACAACAAAAGACAAACTTTATATTCTAACTTTATTTGCTGGTTGAATGCCACCAGTGGTCGATACTGAGGTCACACAACAACCTCTGACAGCTGTTTTTCACTGGCTATTTCAAAGCAGGATGCAGATGCTGTTGGTCTGTTATCATGCACATCATTTTAGGAAAACCAGCAATTACATGTCGAGTGAAACATTGTGAACACCTTGGTGTAACCAGCCTATGCAAATTTCAGTTTTTACATCCGTGGCTGAAATGTACTGATAATAATCGTTCAGCATAATTTTTTGGCCTGACGAGTCAGACAACATACCGCACTGGCAAAGCGAAATGGACAAAACAGCAGAATAGGCAGATTTACTCAATTAAGCAAAACATTTTAAGGTGAGTGGTAATGGCAAGAGTACAGCCTATGCCCCGTTAACCTATGCAGACTTCATAGGATGTGAG